AGGGGTGGTGAAGGGGGTTTTGGGGTTTAGCGGCTTAGCAAGCTAGGGCTTTGGGGTGTAGTTTAGGGGCTTATGTTGGAAAAAAGGGCTTCCCATGGATGTGTAGAATTTGTCATAGGTCTTGTAAAGTCTTACAGGATTCTGTAAAGCGCACAGAGGATTTATCGGGTTTGTCTCGAGTTTTTATGGTGCTTACAATAAAGCTTTTGCAGAATAGAGTCTGATACTTCGCATGAAGAGCTACCCTAAACCCCAAAAACCTAAGCTCTAAAAGCGACCAGAATCTCCAGAAGCTAAGCTTTCATCCAAGTAATCTGAGAATCCCAAGCCCGGCAACGGGTGATCTGGAGCCATGGGCCTTACGGTTCATAGAAGTTGTAATTACGAGGCTTAGTTTAGAGTTTACGGTTTAGGGTTTAGGGTTTGGGTCCGGAGTTTTGAGCTCTTTTTGCTTTTGATTTCGCATTTTGGGCTGGGCTGGGCTGGGCTGGCCGGGCTGTCGGGCTGGGCCATGCTGGCCGGCTGGGGTTGGTCGGGGCTCGTCGAGTCCAAAAGTCGGGGTGGGGAGGGGCCTGGCGGGGGCTGAGATCTCTGCGCACACGTTGAACGACAGTTCGAAACTAATGAAGATACAGTTCGAAAAGAAAGGTACGCAATTTCTACTTATCCAATTCTTGAAGGTTTATGGTTTAGGGATTTAGGGTTTTAGGTTTGGGCCATGGAACAGCCATGGTTTCTATGCTCTCGAGCTGCGTTCTACGCACCATCATGTGACAAGCCCCTGCTTTTCAACCCTAAGACCCGAGACCACGAGTTCCCGAAACCCGAAAACCCTTAAGCCCCACACTCTAAAACCTTGCTCCCCTCCTCAACGCCTGAATCTAAAACCTTCGGCCGCATGCTGCGACCATGGAGCCTGTCGGTGCAGCGGCTGCTTTGGCCGGGCTGCCTTGCAGATCCGACTGTCGGGGTCAAATTAGAGACTAAAACTTGCACAAGCTTGTACACCGACTATGAGGGTTCATATCCCTTTACAATACAAAGGCCCACCGTTTCGGGTTCGACAGGAGATATCCCACCTAAACGAATCATATTTCGAACTAGTCGAACAAAATGCGATCCGGTTTGGAGTTGGAAATTGCGGGTTTACGGGCTTGAAATTCAACGGTTTCAGGATTGTAACTGCTTGGTTTTCAGCTCCGATGCTGCTCCCATGTCATGCCGTGGTATGCTGAGCAAATTGGCATATGAGTGCCACATCCCCACGGCTTCTCTGAAGTCCAGCACAACTTGGAATTTTCAAAGCCTCGGAAAGAATGAACTTTGCCATCAAGCGGGGTCTGGCCTAAAAGCGCGCATGCTGCTTTGGAAGCGGTTGTCGGCGCGGGCGCCGAAGCCATCGATCAAGAATGCATACGGTCATGCAAGTAGGCAGTAGAATTTCAAGTCATGTTATACATCATGAATTACACAGTTTGAAATTTGATTCGCGCGGATGTTGTGCCAACTAAATACTGTTCAGACCAGCATCCTGACCGTTAGACACCTGTGGGGACCAGCTTGCTTTCCCAATGCTTCTTCAAAGATGCGATGCCCTTGGTATTCAAGGGGCTGTGAGCACCGCATGGCAGCATTTGTGGGCACCAGAGCTGTCTGGATTGGTGAACATTTGGGGCACGCAGCCGCATCACAACGTTGCTCACAGGCAAGTGCTTGTCGGCACACATCTCTTCTCTCTTCGGCATACTGGCAATATAGATTCTCTTGCGCACATGAAGATTGCACATGAAACCCGCAAGCACACAAGCAGCTCCTATAGAGCCTCTACAAGGTCGTTCGTTCCTTGGTTAGTTTTAAGCAAGCAAATGGAAAGGCTCCTGGGTTGCTTGGGGCCCGGCTCGCTTGCACTACCACATTCATCCTTCGCCAGCCGCCTCTGATCAGCTCGTTCCGAGCATTCGACAACATCGCAGATTCGACCAACCTTGCTAATGATGCCGCAATAACGCGAACCGTTGTCCAAAAAAAATTAGAACCCACGAGCCGAATGCAGAGTGCGCAGGCACACGTGTTCCTGGGTTAAAACACATGTAAGATCCGAGCCCACCCAGACATTGAAGCACAAGAGTGCTCAGGAACTTGCAGGGTCCGGATGGCAGAACGGGATTTATCGGGAGCGCTCGAGATGAAGGAGCGGTTCAGCATGCATCGCTCGAGGTACTGTCAGAGAACACTCAACGAGCAGATTGTTAATATACATTTCAAGCGTTTAGATGTTCAACCTACAGCTGAAGTCTTGAAACACAACATATACACCCCGAGCCGGTTGACGCTCCGAATCAAGACTCTTCTCGGACCAAAACGACGCGTTCTATCCGAAATCACCTATTCTCATGCAGAATATAGAAGCAAGCAGGGAATTGGAAAGTTCAATGCTGCTTTGTGCGATGGTATACCACTGATCCAACCACGTCACTTCTTATGAAGGTCCTCATGAACAAGTCTTGCTCATGAGCTTAACAGGAAAAGAACCTTCTTGGCCTTGTCACTCTCCTGGGTCTCATTGAGCAGTAAACGTAGTGACACTAATCCCCTAAACCCGGGTTCTCGTTAATGAATTTAATTTAAGTTGCCAACATGCGATGTATAGCAAATTGAACTCCGTAACGAGAACCCAGAAGCCCGAAGCATTAAACGACAAAAGACGACTGGCAACAGTGACGCTTGGCGAGGATCGTACTGCAGCCCCCTAGACCCAAACCCGAAGCCCTAAACCCCAAAAAAACCCTGGATCCTAAAGCCTTGAACCTTGATTTAGACCACTAAACCTCTAAATTTTAAACCCTAAACCCCAAAACTTTGAACCTTCAGACCGCTAAACCTCCTAGACCCTAGACCCCAAAATCTTAAACCTTCCGACCGCTAAACCCCCTAAACCCTAAACCCTAAATCCTAAAACCTAAACCATAAAGCCTTAAACCTTCAGACTGCTAAACCCTAACCCTGGACCCACCGACTTCCTGCTCCTCCGTAGGTACTCCCAGGGTCTACCAAAAAAATGCTGAAGCTTGAGTCATCTCAAGGGCTTAGGGTGTAGAGCTAAGGGTTGAGGTTTTCGGAGCGGTGATGTGCGGCTTAGATTTTAGGATTTTTGGAGTCGAGATTTGCTTTTAGACTGTGGGTTGAGGGTTCAGGGCTTGGGTTTAGGGTTGAGAGTTTGGGGTTTAGGAAACTCGGGTTGAGGCTTCAGGAGTTGGACTTTAAGGTTCACCTTAACCCCAAATGACCTACCCTCTTAAGGACATGTATAAAGAAATCATAATACGGAACCCTACAAAGGTAGGTTATTTGGGCTCCATGTAGGGTTCAGGTCAAGCCCGGAGACCTGCCGTAGGAAAGGACAAACCGCAAGACTAGCTCTGAACCGGGCGAGGGCTGAGGGAGATCGTTAGGTCTAAGGACACCACAGATAACTTGCCTTTTTAGGGCTCCATCTGATGGTTTCTTCATAGAGAAAAAGGTAGGTTATTTGGGGCTTTTGGGGTTAAGGTAGGTTTACAGTGCGGCTAAGGACTGAGCGTGCTTCAGAAGTGAGGGTTTACGACCTCTCGGGTCAAGGGTTGCAGGGATTCTATGCAAGTAGTTGGGCGTGCACCAGTGACACGTCTGAGTCTTGAGGCCACTTCATTAGCCATCGAAACTCGGCCCTAAACCCTAAGCCCACACGCAAGTGCCGAAGCAACGGATCCCCCTGGTGTGTTGTTGTGGAATTCAGGGTTTAGGGCCTAACGCTTTGCGATTTAGGGTTCAGGGCTGAGGGCTTTAGGGTTTTCAGGGCTCCTCGCGCCTCAACTGCAGCTAAACTCCAATGCCGAACGAAAAATTGAACACTTTCATATAGAGGGTCAAATATATACTACCACTCTGGAAGTAGGTCCCAAAACAACAATCCTTATTCTGGTTTTAGGGGCCTAAATCCATGATAGTAGTATATGCGGAACCTCTGGGAAATTTGGTATAATGCCCAACTCAATAGCCTCAATGCCATGCTTTACAGTGGGGCCCTAGCCCTTATCTTAAGCCCTAAACCACCTTAAGCCCGTTGATGTCTAGGAGATAAAACAACCCTACAAAAATCAAGATCATTTAGGCTTCTTGCGCCTGGCTTCTTCTTCAAGGAACTGGTTCAGGGTTTATGGTTTAAGTTCTATTTTCAGCGCCTTTTTCGTGCCTGCCGCCCTGTCAGTTTGGAGTGAAGGGACCTGAATATGGATTTCCACCATAGGGGAGATATAGCAGATAATGTGGGAACCTGATTATGAAACCTTGGGCCTTTACTAGGGTTCCTTATATGAATCCTACTATTTTGGGGTTATTGGCCCAGGGTTTCTCAATCAGGTTCCTACATTAGGGGAGATATAGAACATAAGAGGCCTGACTTAGAACTCCAGCTTCTATCTGTTTAGGGTTTGGCTCTGCACCCTAGCTCGTGGCGAAAACTCTCTAAAATCCGCTTGAGGCGTCGCCACACCGTGTTTTTATCTGCCTGGGCGCGCGCTGCGTCAGGCCAGTGCATGCAGCAAGGGCAGTGCTACGTGCCTTCTGAGGCTTGAACTACTTGCAGGCTGAGTGTGGGGTAGTACGTGCCTAAGTAGACCCACAAGCACCCAAGTCTCTTCTAAGTGTGCCGTAAACACTCATCCCAAATCCGACAAACCCATATTATAATACCCTCACTAAATCCCGTCATCCTTTTGTTGTCCAACTTTAACCTCTACAAGCGCTCAACCCTATTTGTCGCCCAAATTCCACGGTGCAAACCTTAAAATGACAGACTATTGGATTCAAAGGTATCCCCAACCTCCGAAATGCTACACCCCAAACCCCGAAATCCCTCCAAAAGCTCAGGGTTTAGGGCTTAGGAAGCCTCAACTCCACAAAGATGTCGGAAACCCCCGTAAACTCTACCGGCATGGGGCTCACAGATGTGTCCGATCCCCTCATCCTGCAGCCGCCTGCCAGACCAATTGCTCCAGTGTTTGCGGGTTGGGGTTTAGGGCTTCGGGGGGTTTAGGGGCCTAAACCCTAAAGCCTAAACCTAAACCCTATATTAGGGGTTAAGGGTGTTTTTAAAGGTTTAGGGTTTTTTGAGGGGTTTAGGGGTTTCGGAGGTTTAAGGGTTTGGGGTGCAGGGTTTCGGAGGTTTAGGGGGTTTGGGGTTTGGGGTTTCGGAGGGTTTAGGGGTTGAGCGCTTCGGGCGAACAGGGTGCAGGGTGGTAGGGATCAGGATTCCCTTTGTTGGGGGAGTGTTTAAGGGGCGTTTGCGGCTTGACTTCAGGGAACTTCGTGGCTAGAGGCTTCCAAAACCAGGGCTGCTGGAGACCCCTGGAAAAGGTTAGGGGTTTAGGGTTTAGGGTTTGGGGTGTAGGGTTTAGGGTTTAGGGTTTAGGGTTTGGGGTTTAGGGTTTAGGGTTTAGGGTTTGGGGAGCTGGCTCCTTTGTAGGGCTTTCCTTTTTTTGGGATCCTTGTTGGGATCCCTATGAAGGTAGAGGTATTTACCAGTCAAGTCTCTGCGTTAGCGTTTAACTAGGATACCCAGTAACCTAAGAATAAAAATGCCTCTCTTATTGGTATTGGGTAACTTTATAAGGAACCTAGGACTACAAAAAGGGAATAAGGGTACTACTGGGCATCCTAGTTAAGGGTCCGAGGGCTGCTACACGGCCCTTCTTGATTGAGGAGTTTTGGCTTTGGGGGAAGGGGTCAGAGTTTGGGGTTTAGAAGAGTGCCTGGGACTTCGGGGGTTGAACGGCTTCACACCCTAAACAGTTCAGGTAGGCCCTAAAACTTCGATGTTATGAACCTTCTTGCACACATCCCTCCCCGCGCCGGAACGGAGTGAGCCGCTGCACCGTAAGAGGCGGCGTCCTGCATTTTTTTGATTTAGGCTTTAGGTTTCTTTTTAGGGTTCCTCGGTTCTTCAGGGTCTGTAGGCTGTATGGCTTAGGGGTTCCGAGGGGCTTGGCTTTCGGGAGCCAAGGTGTCATCGTTTCAGGGTTTCAAGCACCCTAATCCTCAAACCTTAAATGGGTAGTTCAAGCTGTCCCTGCCCTAAACCGGAAACATCCCAAGCAAGCCCAAACCCAAGGAAACGCCAAAGCCCCCGTTCCCAAATAAGACCCTAGACCCTTAACCGCAAATTCAGCTCTAAAAATCAAATCCTGAAAGCCGTAATTCGAAGCGCAAGAAAACCCCGAACCCCAAGCCCAACAAGAGCAAGCTAGACCCCCAGTAGGGTTTAGGGTTTATTGAACCCTTGCAAACTGAACGCCTGAACGCCGTAACCCCTGCAATGAGAAACCTGCAAACGCTCTCAACTTCCGCCTGCACAAGACCTGGGGGTTTACCTAAACCCCCCAAAGCAGGCAAAATAATGGCCCGATACCTATAACAGAACATTATTCTACATGCTTTCGGGGTTACCCAGAGACTCCAATATCCCTTAATTAAGGAATATTCCTTAAATTATAGTAGGGATCCTACTATCTTAATTAAGGGATATTGGAGTCTCTGGTTACCTGGGCTTTAGGGTACAGGGCTTCGGGCCCCTGGTCTGAGAAGCTCTGCAGTAGACCCTGCTTCCAAAAACCTACCTTGAGGTTCATGGTCTAGGGTTTAGGGTTTAGGGTCTAGGGTTTAGGGTTTAGGGTTTAGGGTTTAGGGGTTGGGGTGTGGGGTTTTGGGGTTCAGGGTCTCAGGGGGGTTTGCAAGTTACAAACAAGTTAACTATAAGCATAACCCCCCTAAACCCTACTGGGAGGTTCATGGGGAGTTCTAAGTGGGGATATAAGTAGGGGAACTATACTTATAACCCATATTGAGGGACTTATAACCCTACTTATAACTACCCATGGACCTCCAAGTAGACCTAAACCCTATACCCTTATAGAATCCCTATAGATCCCTTACAGGAACCCTAAACCCTGAAGCCAGAGACCCTAAAACCTACACCCCTGAACCCTAAACCCCTAACGGCGCAGATGCTCCTTTATAGTATCCTTAAGGGAGGGGGGTTCAAGGGGGGAGGGTATAAGGAATCCTTAGGGGACTGTAAGGGAACCTTAGGGAGTACCCCCCCTTGGACCCCCCTCCCTTAAGGATACTACAACTCCTTGGAAACAAGAGGTCTTCCGTGCGTCTCGATGAGCTCTGCATCCTCCAAAAGAAGCGTGGGTTCCACTTAGGGTTCCCTGCGGTTTAGGGTTTAGGGTTAGGTTTGGGGTTTAGGGTTCTACGAGTAGAGTGCATTCAACTGGATGAAGGGTTTCGAGTTTGGGATTTTAGGGCCTAAAACCCTACACCTAAAAACCAAAAACCCTAAACCCTAAAGGTAGGGGTAGGGTGTAGCAGGGCTGCAAGATCTCTTGACCCCTAAACCCTAAACCGACTTCAAGACACTGCTTCGGGGTATAGTCTACTGTACTCATGACAGGGAACCCTGGGATTGAGGCATGCACCCTAAACGCTACACTCCTAAACCCTAACCGCTGAGCCTCCCAACCAAAATCCCTGAACCCTGAACCCCAACACTTGCCAACCTCCCCAAAAAGAGCAATGGCATCAGGACCCCTTCCCTCAAGCAGAGGAAGCTACGCTTGAGGTTTGAGGGTTTGGGGTTGAGGGCTTGGGCTTAAGGATTAAGGTTTAGGGGTTAGGGGTTTAGAGTTTAAGGTTAGGGATTAGAGGGAAAGGTTTTTTTTAAGTGAGGGAAAGGTTTAGGGTTAGGCCGTTGGCCGTTGAGGTTTTGCGGCTCAGGGTTGAGGAGTTCACGGTCGAGGGTTTGGGGATTTAGGGCTTAGTGTTTGGCTTCAAGGTTTGGGCTTAGGGTTTAGGGGTGTTTAGGGTTTAGGGTTTAGGGTTTAGAGTTTAGGGTTTAGGGTTTAGGGTTTAGGGTAGTTCAGGGATTGAACAGCCTGAACACCCGAGTCCCGTTTCTGCAGGTGCTTTAATGTTCAGCACTTGCTTTCCGACTGTGGCAGGCGTTCTGCTACCAGTCCCGTACAAAGCAAGAAAGCTCCCAACACGTGATAGTAACCGTCTTCACGAGAATATTGAAGTTGGAGGAAGGTCCTTGGGTTAGAACATGGCTCTAGTGCCGAAAATTTACTGCATGTGGTCTCTTCTCGGGTTTTTTGCCGGCGAGGCTTGAGCGATCCCGCTTTGTGGTGCTCATCATGTTGTGACCTGCAGGAGGTGCGGGTGTCCCTTCCTCTCCTGCGACGCCGTCATGCGGTTTAGGCTAAGGAAGCCTGAATATCTAGCATCAACCCTGTAAAACCCTGTGAAGCGCAAACCCTTCTGAGAGACCAAATTCTAACACCCTCAGAACAACCCCACGTCGAACCCATACCCTAGACTCTAAAAACCCTAATGTCCAAAAGCTTGACAGCCCTAAAGCTCTGAATCCTTGCACCCCGTACAGGAACCCTGACAGGAAACCGGAACCCTAAACCATAAACCCCGAGCCTGAACCCTCAACCCCAACCCTGAACTCTAAACCCAACCCTAAACCCTAAAACCTAAACCCCAACCCCAAACCCCAACCCCGAACCCCAAACCCTAAACCCCAACCCCGCACCCTAGAGCCTAACCCCTAAACCCCAAACCTGACCACTAAACCCCAACCCTAACCCCTACACTTTCAAACCTAACTCCCTACACCCTGAAATCCCTAGAACCTAAACTAAACCCCAACCCTTACCCTCAAACTTTCAAACCGAACTCCCTACACCCTAAAATCCCTAAAACCCAACCCTAAACTCCAAACCTAACTCCCTACACCCTAAAATCTAAACCCTAAACTAAACCCCAACCCAAAAATTCCTAAACTCCCTAAAATCCCGAAAACTCCTAAAATTCCTAAAATCCCTAAAAATTCCAAAAATTCCCTAAACCTGGGTCGAAGCCCTCACGGCCTTCGTCTCCGGAAGACTCCAGACCAACACCGAGGCGAGTAGGAGCCTGAGGAGCAGAACTTGGGGTTCAGGGTCTTAAGGCTTAGGGGTCGAGGGGGTTTAGGGTTTCGGGGTTTCTCAAAGGGTCTAGGGGTTTAGGGTTTACGGGTCTAGAGTTTTGGGGTTTAGGGGTTTAGGGGGGATCCTGGAAGGATCTTAAAGGCATCCTGACAGGGATCTGCACAGGTTCCTTAAAGAGGTCCTGGAACTGTTCCTCCAAGGGAGCCTTAAAGGATCTTAAATGGGTTCATGGCCGATGAACTTGTTCTCGGCCATGAACCAGCACAGGGGCTTCTAGCGGTGCAAATGCTCTTGAACTCTAAACCCTAAACCCTAAACCGTCTGGTTGCCCCCGTCGGCCAATGCCTGCGTGGTCCAGATCTCCTTGTCTGGCAACAATGCCATTGGCAATTGCAGAAACCAAGGGCTCACCATCATGAACCAAGTGCACCTGCTTCAACTCAAAGGACCTCAAGAACTTCACCAAATTGCGAACAGTGGTCCCTCGCAGTGGGTGGCTGCAGCTCCAATGCAGTAAGTATGAACATGAACGACCGCAATGAGCCTGACTCCACGACAGTGATACTGGTCGATTTGGACCTCCAAAGCATCCCGCTCGATCCGCGACTTCGCTTTCTTATGCTGCGTTCACGGTTTAGGGTTTAGGGGTTTAGGGTTTAGGGTTTAGGTTGTAAGGGCTCCTCCGGGGATCTTTCCTCGAATTCTCTCTCGCCCTCCGTCAGCTTGTCTTCGCTGCTTTTGCAAGCAAATTCAACAAGTCCTGTGTTGAGCAAGAGCTACTTGGTCTTCCTCCCCGACATGCCTAAATCATTTACCTGTGTCTACCCCTAAACCCTAAACCCCTAAACCCTAAACCCTAAACCCTAAACCCTTCCTTCCCCCTAACAGCAACCCCCTATTGAGGATTTCCCATGCCATCCTCAAGTCTTTTGGCAATGTGGCGACGGTTCTTGCGATTCAATCAAATGATCTACAAGGATTTAGGGTCTAGGGCATAAGGTTTCGGTTTAGAGTTTAGGGTTGAGGGTTCGGAGTTGAGTTTAGGGTTGGGTATAGAAGAACACTTCATATACATGTATGAACATTTAGGCTAGCAGCTAGGGGTTTGGTGGGTTTTATGCCTTCTTGAATACGCTCCTGTGCGGAACCTGCTTCTTGTTACATACCTGGACGCTGAAACACAATCAGCGGTCGACAAACGTCCGAATCTGCAAGGGGTTTCATCGGCACATAAGCGATTTGCGTCTCTACCCTAAACCCTAAAACCTATGGGTGGTTCAAAAAGTCATGCGCATTACGAGGGCCTTCCGTGCAGGAGTTTGACCAGGGGGCAATGAAAGCTTTCTAGATTCCAGAAAACCCTCTCAAAACGTGTAAGTATGGGGCCCCAAGCCCGTAAACCCTAAACCCTGGACCCTAGACTTGGCTGACTTCTGAACCCCTCCTAAAAGTTAAACTTTTAGCCTCCTCATTATGGTTCATGTAGATACCCAAAAAGCTAAAGTCCTAAGAGCCAACCAGACCCTAAACCCTAAACCCTAAACCCTAAACCCTAAACCCTAACCCCTAAACCCTAAACCCTAAACCCTAAACCCTAAACCCTAAACCCTAAACCCTAAACCCTAAACCCTAAACCCTAAACCCTAAACCCTAACCCTAAACCCTAAACCCTGGACCCTAGACACAAAACTCTGAAGCCAGGGGCAGCCCCATAGTCAGGTAGAGGAAGAGCCGGGTGGAGCTGTGGATGAGCACCGGCACCGCCTTGGCCGCAAGATACGGTTGATGATATAAATCCTGCATGACCCATAATAAGGAATATACCATAATTACCATATATTCCTTATTATGGGTAATGCAGGATTTATATCATCAACCGTATCCCTCAAAAGCTCAAGGGTTGAATGCTTTGGGGCCGTAGGTTTTAGGCCAAGGGTTTAGATGGTGTTCAGTGGTAGGGTTTGAGGAGTGTGGTGGTTGAACAGTTCAAGGATTATGTACATAAACCCTAAACTCTATAAACCATATAAAACCTACAAACCCTATAAACCCTATAAACCCTATAAACCCTGAACCCCTATAAACCCTATAAACCCTAAAAGCTATGAACCCTGAACCCTATGAAACCCTGTAAACCCTATAAACCCTAGACCCCTATAAACCCTAAACCCTACAAACCCTAATAAAACCCTATAAACCCTAAACCCTCAACATCCCTAAGCCCTAAACCCTGTTATTTCCTAGACCTAAGAGTAGCCTAGGAATAAAAAGGGTGCCCTTTTTGGGTTAAAGGGGGCTTATAAGGGAACCTAAACCCGAAAAAAAGGGAATAAGGGCCTACTCTGGGTCCTACGGTTGATGATATAAATCCTGCATTACCCATAATAAGGAATATACCATAATTACCATAGTTTAGGGTCCTTAAGATAATGCAGGATTTATATCATCAACAGTAGTTTCTGGAATTGGCACCGTACGATTTGAGGGATCAGGGCCCTGGAGGCAAACAGTTGACGCTTCGAGCGCTCGGGTTTAGGGTTTAGGGGTTTAGGGTTCATAGGGTTTATAGGGTTTATAGGATTTATAGGATTTATAGGGTTTAGGGTTTAGGGTTTAGGGGTTTAGGGGTTTTAGGGTTTTAGGGGTTTAGGGCTTAGGGTTTGGGGGTTTAGGGCACTCAGCTATCAACGTCCTACATCCGCAAGTTACTCCGATTTGGTGTTCTTTAAGTGTTGATTTGGTCCGTGACATACATATATCTTCATCTTTTTGACAATAAGCAAGCCCCAACAGCACAACTTCCGGGTGCAGGATTTGGTTTCCGGCGGCTCGGGATGGCGGCTCTTCGGCTGAAGTGACTTGTTATAGGTGAAGGTCCAGGGTTTGAGTGTGGGGATCGTGTGTATCCGCGGGTTTGGGTCCCATTTTCGAATTGGGTGGTTGTCAAAAGTATGGTCCCTTTTTGGGTAAAATGTCGAAACCTTACACTCAATCTTGAATTAAGTGTAAACCAACCACTCCCAAGCCTACACATCTCTGAACCAGCAAACGGACCACCTCCCCCGTGCCGGGAATAACCTACCTCTTACGGCTCTTCATAAGTTTAAGGTCACGGATTCAGGTGCGGGGATCGTGATTTGGTGTGTGGACTGAGGTTTGCGGCTTCAAGCTTCAATGTTGGAACCGTTGATCGTATCGCCCGACACTCTAAGCCACACCTAACATGTCAGGTCCTAACACCGGCTGTTGCCAAGCACCCGGCGAGTGGGGCCATGCGCCCACAGAACGCGATGATGGACATGCTCCAGACGCGGATTTGCGTCGTGAACACCTGCAACGATTGGCTCTCCCCCAGCTATCTCCCTCCGTACAGCACAAAATCCTGCCTGGGGGTATTTACAAGGAGCTTTGGCTCCCAAAAGAGCTTGTAACTCTACTTACCCTAAGGGTCCAAGTACCTGATTATCCTACACTCTCCAAAATAGTAACTTACATAACTACTATCCGAAAACCGAATGCCTAATTAACCCTAAACCCTAAACCCCTAAACCCTAAACCCTTAAACCCTAAACCCTAAACCCCTAAACTCTAAACCCCTAAACCCCTAAACCCTAAACCCTAAACCCTAAACCCCTAAACCCCTAAACCCCTAAACCCCTAAACCCTAAACCCTAAACCCTAAACCCCTAAACCCCTAAACCCTAAACCCCTAAACCCTTTGTTGGGTGCTTCGGACCCTTAGACACACGCCGACCCCAGAGCATCCTCGAACTTTTTCCACCAATCGCACACCCCAAGAAGCCCTACTGGGTTCCTTTAAAGGGATCTATAGGGGTACCTTATAGGGGCTCCTTTAAGGGATCTATAGGGTTTAGGGTTTAGGGTTGATGATAAAAATCCTGCATTACTTTAAGTTCAAGAACCCTAAACTATGGGAATTATGGTATATTCCTTATTATGGGTAATGCAGGATTTACATCATCAACAGCATTGCCCACTCAATTTAATGTAAGGGCCTTAAAGAGTAGGGTTTGGGGGCAAAATAGTACTACAATTAAAAAAGGAACCCCCAAAATAGGTAATTATTAAGGCCGCTATATTGCAACAGTAATGTGAAGCTGCTTCCTTGATCAATCCAAGCAGCTCACAGATTAGAACCTGTACCTGTCGTCATGTCTAGTTACTTAAGCGTACTTGAACTTGTTTCTTCTTATGAGCAGCTGCGAGGTAGTGGGCCGTGCACCGCGTTTGACACATGTACTTTGCCGGGTCAAGGAAACACCTACATGAAGTTTCGGTGGAGATTTTGGGCCTCGGCTGTGCCACCAGGAGTGCGAGCTGTGAGTGTGCGACGGGCATTACGGGTTTGAGTTTTAGACTTCGGGGCATCAGAACAAAACCTGTTCTTTGCACGCAGCAATGTTGGCGTCAGCACACCCATCCCTCTCCAGACCCTAGCCCCCAAGTTGCACCTGAGTCGACAGTTAAAATCCGCTTCAATTTACCGGAATCACTGCTCGGCATTCAAGTTATCCCGAGATCCTACATTAGGGCCCCCCTAGAAGAAGCCAAAAAAAGTGGAGATATCACTATTATGCTTGTGTGCTTTTTGGGTCCCTAGCACATCCTGATCTGACCTCCGACGGCAGCAGGAACGTCGTCATCTGTGCAGTGGGATAGAAGAGCTTGAAGAAGACCACGCCAGTCCTAATACAGGGGCCTTAATAGTTAGAATAGGGCTTTGGGGCCATTTGGGGCCCATTACACTATAATTATCTACATTAGCTGTCGAGATTTTTCGGTGGTTGAGGGTTTCAGGGCTTTTTGGGGGTTCAGGTTTGCGGGTTCGGGGCTGTTTTAATTTAGAGTTTTCAGGCTTGGGGCCGCCAGGGGTTCAGGGCAACCATGGTTGAGAAAAGACGCATCGCAGTTGAGCTGAACAGAAATAGTTGAAGCGCAACGAGTCAGAGTCTGATCATGGTGGTCGTTGTCTGCCATTATCGTCAGTTAAGAAAAGAGAACTAGTGCGATAAAGACTTTCGGCGCTTAGGGTGTCTCAAACCATCCTAGATAAACCTAAACCGCAAGCTTTCACGTGGGGGATGTCGGAGGAGCTTGGACCAGTGCAGTCCAGCGAGGAGCAGCATGGTAGCCGCATCACCCCGCTTTCGAAAGCATTCATGCGCTTAAGGGTTGCGTGCGGATCCAAACCTAAACCCTAAACCTTACATCTCCCTAACTCCAGCTCAGCTGAGCCGGTACGGCCGCCAACAAACACCTAAAAGTGACCCTCATTGAATAAATTACTCATTGGAGAACTCAGACCAAAGACTTCGGATGTAAGAACTAGGATTACACTTTCGGAACCACGAAGCCACAAAAAAAAAACTAAATACATGTTGCTAGAAAGGTCTGCGGTCGTCTTGAAAAAGCCTGTACCCTAAACCCTAAACCCTGGGCCCAATCCTTAAAACCCTAAACGCCTTAATGCTGACCCTTGGGCTCCGGCCGGGGGGCTTACGGTGTAAGGATAAGGTTGAAGGTTTAGACCTTTCGCTTTCCTCGTAAGCCTGTATAGCCCTCGAAACCTGGCCGAATTGACTACCCGGCCACCAAACATCTTTCACTCCATCGTCATGAAACTGTATACACAGGCCAAGACAGCCATGCTACCCTGATGTCGAAACCTCAATTGCCGGGACGGGCTGTCGGCACGTGAGCCGAGACAAGGGCATTGTAAGTAGCAATAGTAAAGCGCGAAAACTCTAAGTCAAAACGTTACGGAACGCATTGTGCCCGGAAAAGCTGCAAAACCTCCAAACCCTAAACCTCCTTGCAGCTGCGCCACAAGCCGAGGGACATGTCCTGCCGAATAAGAAAAAGTGAAAAGAAGGGCTTGCAGCTTGACTTGTAGGTCAAAGGTATACTGCTCGGGGTTTAGGGTTGAAGTTCGGGGTTTGGGGACCCATGACATCACCACACCCTGAACCCTAACCCCCGCCCCTCGGCCTTATCCAGGATGCCGTGCACGGCGTAAACGCCGAAGGAACCTTACTTGTGCAGCGCCCCTTCTGGGATCTATAGGGTTCTTTTGAGGGATCTATAGGGGTTAGTTTGAGGCATCTGTAGAGGTTACTGTTACCTCAAGGGATCTATAAGAGCTTGTAGAATGCCAGCTGAGTGCCAAAATCTGCCAGCCGCCCAACCACCAAAAGCACGCTACCTGAGACCGCCCCGCCACCACCAGACATGCATGCATTCATGGCCGTGAATCTGGCTTTAGTTGAAAGCATGGAGGCGTCCCCCATGCATCTCGTGCTGCAGACTCGAATAGTCACAACTCAAAATACATACTGCGGTGGTTTGATGGGCGGTCGTTCGGGAGGGTACCAACGCGCACTTCCCACTTAGTGGGTGCGGTCGGGAGCGGCCCCAGCAATCGCTCGCCAAACTCGAAAATGCGTGCTGCAACATCCATGGGCCGCTTGCGCACGAAGGGCGCTGACATTGCTTCGGAGAATCTGTCTTGACAAGGGTCTTGTGCCGGAAAAATGCGAAGAATCAAAGCAATGAGACGATCTGGAACTGCGTAGTTCCGCAGACATGTATACACGGAACGACAACAAAAGCATGCATGGTAACGTAAGCTATACGAATGATACTGTTCTGTTGCATCTAGAAGCATGTCATACAAGCATCGTCCACAGCATCGCCATCATCATCATCATCATCAATCTTCTTCTATATTCTTCTAGAGCATGATCTGGAAAAGATACATAACATATAAATAAACAACAAACACTCACATGGCAAACAAGCTTTCCAGCACAACAGATTGAACTCTCACAAGCAGACGTATTTCCAACCGATGTCGCGAAGCGGGTCTGTGAGGACACATGACGTTGTACAGCGTCTTTACTTGTAAAATTTACTCATGGCCTCTGTGCACAAGTCACCGCAGCCGAGCCAGAGGTTTTGGTTTTCGAATCAACACTCGTACTGCATTGAGCGGAGCTTGGCTCGAAACAAAGAGCATCCTGCTTTGCAGTGTTGGCTCATCGAGATACGGTCCTTAAGAAAGCGCCAAACCCTATCGATAATTTGAGTCCCGGACTTCACCTTCAATGTCTTCGCAGCACCAGGGATCTCATAGGTCCCGATCCCAACATATTTGGGCTTCGACCACCTGAACTTGCCATTCACTTTAAACCTCTTCGTGCAGTGTACCACCTTGTCCTGCAAAACTCCCTTGACTTTCGCTTGCCCCTTTTCGCCGAATCGGTGTGAAGGATGACCTTGCGATCCAAGAGAAGTTCCTGCTTCCACTATGTCAATGCGGATAGCAACCAGCCCGGGTGCCCTTTTGACCGTAAGCTTGGGGACCAACTTCTGCAGGACCAAAGTACGGGGACGGCCACGCTGAATGACACCCCCTCACACCACATGGACAGCACAACCGGAGAAGCTACAACACGCTCGGGCCGAATATTCTTATGATATGTAGTCTTGATCATCAGGCCTCACGCATTGCAAGGCAATCACGGCCTGCACAGACAAGACAAGACAGCGGGACCCAAGTAAACCTCTCCACCACCAAAAAATTTTTTCTCAACCATCACGACCCAACATCGCACATCTCTGGTTCTCCTTCAACGGTGCCCATGGTTTGCACCACTCACTACAGTGGCTCATGGACGTCTCAGGTAACCCCGAGCTCGAGCCACAAACAAGCAAACAAGCACAGGATGACATCATCAACAGCATCCAGCAGCAGTGAGGTTGGTCACTCAATCATGCTCAATCATGCATGAACGGCCCGCCTGAATGCATGAACGGCCCGCCTGAAGCCGTGGTCCTGCTGCTTAGCTGTGCCCTGGAGCACAGTAACCAAGGGCACAAGCGCGGCCAACTGGGCAGGCGCATCCCCCCAAACTGCAGCGGGGTTCTTCCAACCGACTGTGTGCCGCCCACCTCCCAACACGGGACCCTGGGGCCGCGAGAGCTGGGAACTATAAATCACGCAAAGGAATGTATAAGTACGGTATTGACTTAACGGGTGACTTGTCTATGTCCATACAGGGTTCTATTTGCCTTATAACCGTTTGAAGGAGTTAGGGCTGCACTTATATGTGATAAGCGGGAGTTATAAGTCCGCCGTACGTCCAGTCGCTAGGAGTCATACTCCTGTATGGGGCAATTATCGGGCCTACGGTTCTACAAGAGTAGTATGAAGGCTCTATAATACTGGATTAGGATGCTTGTCTTTAATAACCCACAAGGTCGAAGGCCCCTAACCCGGGTTCAGTTCTAGGAGCAAAGGACCGCGGCGGCGGCGAAGGCGACGCGCCTGCAGGGTTCAGGGTCGGCTTGGGGCTCCCAGCCAGGGCTTCTTGGGTTTCATTTCTGGGCTCCTTCCTTTTCCTTTAAGGGTTCCTTAAAGAGGTTTGCTTTCAGGGTTGGGCGAGGCTTGAAGCAAGGGTTTAGGGGGGTTCAGGGTTGAGATTTCTAGTCGCCGCGTCTTGAGGCAATCAATCCGTCTCTGAAAAATCCTAGAGTCTTATATACCCCAAACACGACAAACCCAATAAGGCCCCGATATTATGGTAGCCTTATAGTATCCCTTATAGTAACCCTTATAGACCCCTTTAAAGGAACCCTACAACCCAACGAGCCTTCATCCCCGAACCCTCGCCCTGCAACCTCTAGTCCCCTTCATGGGTAGTTGTCAAAATTATGGTTTCTTTTTGGGTAACCTCGGTTTAGAGTTTAGGGTTTAGGGTTTAGGGTTTAGGGTTTAGGGTTTAATAGGTGCCGAGAAAACTGGGACCCAAAAATGAACCATAATTTTGACAACCACTCTCATCCTAGCCCCACAGCCCACACCCTGAAACCCTCGACCCCACACCCGAATGGGAAGTTTGTGAAAGAGGCAGATGCCAGACTTGCCTAGGTTCCCCCACGGCTACCTACCCCAACCTTCACTGTGGCTTTAGGGTTTGCGGTTCAGAGTTCTCTAACCTTAAACGCCAAACCCTAAACCCCAAACCCTGAACCCTCAATCCGAAACGTCGAACCCGGTCTTTGCACGCCGCTTTGGCTCGATGCCCTAATCCCCAAACCCTAAAACCTAAACCCTAAACCCGAAACCCGAAACCCTAAGCCCTAAACCCCAAACCGTGACTGAGGACAACTCTGTCCGCAATGGCCATTGCATGCTCTCATCGGCAGGCTCGGGCTCAAGGGAATTGCAGCATCAAGCTTTTGTGCTTGTCGGTCGGTTGATGATATGAATCCTGCATTACCTTAATGACCCCAGACTATGGGAGTTGAAGGTATACTCGCCTTACTATGGGTAATGCAGGATCCATATCATCAAACGTTTCTCCTTGGTTTGGCCGCTCCCAAGTGTCTCTTGTAATAATGTGTGGTTGCCAACCCAGAAATCCCAATGCCCCTTAATTAAGGAATATACCTTAAATCATAATATTAAGGCCTCGACAACTTAATGTATATTCCTTAGTTAAAGGGTATTGGCATCTCATGCTTGATGCACCGGTCCTGGTCTGCAGGAAAGCAACGCTCACGAGCAGCTTTCCTACTTTGCGCCAGCACTGACAGGTACAGTACCCGCAACCCTAAACCCTAAATCCGAAGCGAATGGTGGGGCGAGCCTATTTTCAGGCACTAATTATTGCTTCTAGAAATCTTCGCTTTCATGCCCGCTTTCCATATAACTCCAAACCCGAGAACTTTGAAGTGGTGAACCCCCAACCTACGTACGTAGTCCAATTCCCTCACAACCTGAACTTGCAAACCTGAACCCGAACCCCTAAGCCTCAAACCCCAAAACCATCTCTCAAGCCCTTAGAATAGGCTGTTAAGGAACCCTAAAAGGAACCTTACAAGAAACTCTAAACAGAAGAAATCCTGAAACATCGTCACATCTTCTTATAAAACCTTCATAGCTGTACCAGGAAATGCCCAAAACCATGGTTCAATTCTGAGGGCCCCGTTTTTTGAGGCCTATTCAACCCCTTAAGAAGCCTTAGAATTCCTGAAAAAAGTTGACACCCTGCAGAACCCTTACAGCCCCTCGCAACCCTTGTAGAACCTCTGTAGACTGCCTTTAAAAGAATGAAAGACAAAAACAACAATGCCTGGGCAGGGAAAAGATCAAGAGCATCGCAACCGCGACACCCGGTACTCCCAGTGCTGCCGTGGCCAGGAGTTCCTGCTTCGCGTGCAGGGCACGGATTAGGGTTTAGGGTTTAAGGGGCTTATCCTCGTATGCAGGCCTAGTGTTTGGGGCTTGGGGTTAAGGGCTTATGGTTCCAGTCGCAGTGTTTCTTGTAGAGCCGTTCGAACGTCCCGGACCTCACCTGCCCTAAACCCTGAACGGGCTCTACTCTCTTCTCGGACTTCACATGCTGTCTGGTATGTCCCAGAAATCAAAGGGGAAAAGGAGGGACCCTTAATGGGGACCCCTACCCTATAATGGGCTATATAATAGCTATATTAAGGGTATATACCTACGGGTCCTTATTCAGGGTCCCTCCTTTTACCCTTGGAAGAAATGCTTCGGCGCTTCAGGGATCCTACGCTCCACCTTCCTCCTGCGATTCAGCAATGCCCTTTAGCTGTAGAAGCATCAATCCAAATACAGGGTTTAGGCTATTAGGGTCTAGGGTTAGGGTTCAGGGTTTATAGGGTTTAGGATGTATTCGGCTAAGGATTTGGGGCTTTGGATATCCAAATCACGGCTTTTAGGCCAAGAGTTTGCGGCCTAGAGCTTATAAGGTATCCAAGTAAACAAGAAGACAGAGCCACCCTCAAGTTCTGAAAGTTGCATAAGCATGGTAACATACGTTGTCTTGGTACACGTGCTTTCATATACTAACTAGAACAGGGTCCTGGGTATGATATAGTGTAAGTATAATAATAAGGAGCCCTACATAACAATATACGTATCTATTGAGGCTTCTATACTATCTTTCTTGTAACCTTCGTACAACCCTCGTCAGAGCCCAGTTTCTCTGTTCTAGGTCCCAAGTCCCTGAATCTTAAACCCTAAAACCTAAACCCTAATCCCTAAACTCTAAAACCTAAACCCTAAACCCTAAAACCTAATCCTTAAACCCTAAAACCTAAACATTAAAATCTAAACTCTAAACCCTAAACCCTCGAACCTAAACCCTAGACCCTAAACAGTCAATCCCTCCGTCCCTGGAGCCTAAACTCCAAAATCGGGAGTGCGCCACCCGACCTAAACCCCGAAACCCCCAGAGATCCCAATACCATAATTAAGGAATAGGCCCTAAGTTATAGAGGCCTTAATATTATGATCTAAGGTATATTCCTTAATTAAGGGGTATTGGGTTCCCAACCTAAACCTCGAAACTCCAAACTTCCTGGAAGCCTTAGCCTCGGGTACTGCCCGCATACAGTCACAGTCTATAATAGGGCTACTATGAAGGTCCTAATATATCTTCCACTATGGGCTATTAGACCCTAAAGATCCCTATTAGGACCCTATTAAGGGTAGATTAAGGTACCCATAAGGTCTAATAGCCCATAGTGGTTTTTTATGCATGTTATCCAACTGTTACTGAGTGGGGGCAGTACCCAACCTTAGCCCATCAAACCCCAGACCCGAAACCATTAAACCAGCAACTCGAAACCCCTAAACTCGTCATAGAACCCGTAAGAAAATGCCTTCTAAACACTCTTCCTTGCAAACTTGCGGACAAGCCTTTGAGTTTAGAAGCAGAGAAAACACAAGTAATGTAGGAACCTGGTTAAGAAACCCTGGGCCAATAACCCCAAAATACCAGTATTCGTATATGGAGCCCTAATAAAGGCCCAAGGTTTCTTAATCAGGTTCCTACATTACCCTAAACCCTAAAAACCCCTAAACCCAAATTTCCCAAACCCAAACTAAGGGCCCGGGCCGTGGCAGGGCTGGCGCCCGCGAGGCTCTGCGTCTTCCGCCAAGCCAGAGGCCAAAAGTTTCCTTTTGGGGGTTCAGGGTTTACGGATAGGGTTTAGGATTTCAGGGTTTTCGGTTTTTGGTGCAGGGTTTAGGGTTGTACGCTTTTGGTGTCTGTATTAATGGGTGTGAATGGTTTCGTGTGTTCTCCGCGGTCTTTTGACGTGCTGCTCTGGTTTCTTACCTCTAATCATAGTTTCGTGAAGAGTGTGCGCGAAGCTGCTTTTATAAACCCTAAACCCATGAACCTCCAAGGAATGCCCTGGGATTTCGTCTCTTAGGCTTATACCCGGAGACTCCTAGTCCTAGGCTTCCTTTAAAGGATCTATAAGGGCTCCTTCAAAAGGGTTCTTTAAAGGAATCTATAAGGTTTTGGGTTGAGGGGAGTCTAATATCCCTTAATTGTGGAGTATACCTTAAATCATATCAGGGATCCTACTATACTTCACAGTATATTCCTGAACTAAGGGATGTTGGAGTTTCTGGGAGAACCCTAAACCCCTAAACCCCGAAACCTTAAATCTTAAACCCTAAACCCTAAACCTAAACCCCAAACCCCGAAACCTCAACCATTGTATAGGGTTTGGGTCCGGAGATTGCTCTGGTCGGGAATCCTTCGAAGATGTGTGTGAAGAGCAAAAGGATTCCCGATCAAAAAAAACTTTTTCTTTTGCTTTTGCTCCAGAGGGCCAAAACAAGAGGACAAGGGATTCCCGGTGGGTGTTCTCGTAAGAGAAGAGGATTCCCGATGACAAATAGTTTTGGTTTTTGACTTGCCATTTTAGTTTTGGAGTGCCGGGGCTTGGGCTACCTGGGCTGCTGGCGCTGGGCTGGGCTGGCTTGGCTGGCTGGGCTGGCTGGGCTGCTGGATTCTGAAAGCTGGGGCTGGGCTGGGCTGCTGTGGCTGGGTGGGGATGGGGCTGGCTGGACAAGTTTAATGAAAATTTGAAACTAGTGAAAATGTAGTTCGAAGCGAAATCCGCACAATTTCTATTTATCCTGCTCTTGAGGGTTGAGGGTTTAGGGTTTAGGGTTTAGGGTTTATAGAAATTGTTAAGGGTTTGGGTGCCAATAAGTCTTGGGCGAAACGTTTTGACTGAAAGTTTTGGGCGACACGTTTTGACCGAATGTTTTGACTTTTGGAACCTTGACTTGGTGTTGGGTGTGGCCAGCCTGGGCTGGGGGATGGGGCTGGGGCTGGGGAGGCCTTTCTGCATTTACCTACCTCGTACCCGACCCGGCTATGTAGAGGGGGGGGTGGGGCGGGGCGGTGCCTTTTTTTTGTGAGCGCGGAGCGGGAATGTCGAGCCGACGAGGCATTCGCAGTCAGCCCAGGTCGTCTTGCGTTGAATGCGCTTGTACTTATTCTTCGACAGGTTGAATGCTGCTCCGGGTCGCAGGTACACGCAGGCGTAAGCCTGCGGTACTGCCTGGGCATGCAGACACATGGTACTGGTACTCAGCATAGATCACGCAGTCCGTCGTTGGTTACGTTGTCGCTGTGATGTTAATTAATATGCACACCGGCACGGCTAGGTTAGGCGGGGGGGCAGGGCGGTGCTTTTGTTTTTGGTGATCGGCTACGGCAGAAACAAGGATGCTAGTTGGGCACGAAGGTTTCCATTTGCTAAGGCAACAAGAAGCTAGTTGGGCGCGCTGGTTTCCATTTGCTAAGGCAAAAACAGGGATGCTAGTTGGGCACGCTGGTTTCCATTTGCTAAGGCAAAAACAAGGATGCTAGTTGGGCGCGCTGATTTCCATTTGCTAGGGCGGGCACGGCTGGAGACGGTAGGCAGGATGTACGGATGAACGGGTGTGCTATATAGTTTTGGTCGCAATGATTTCTCTCCAGTCTGCTGAGCCCGGGCCCGACAATGACCAGGTACACATAGTAAACATCGCAAGCACCAAATATGCAACAATCCGAAGGGATGGAGACCGTAGTCACACTGTGACTGGTTCTATTCCATCGTATTGTGTTCAATCAAAAGGATATGTGTGAATTCCATGGTATATATTCTTCCAAAACTGTTCTTTCCATTCAATGAATTCACCGGCGCATACCCTCTGTTTGCTTCCATTGCTGCTCGGTGCGAAAACAGAATATCTACGGAAGCGAGCTGTGCGCGAGACTCAGCCGGGGCGGTGCACGAGACGTGTTCACCGCCCGCCGGAAGTCCTCCGCCGAGACCTCGGAACAGTCCGAACAGGGGGTTGTTGTTCACAACTGGTCAGCAAGACCTGCGCCCACGTCGGCGGCTTGTGCTTCAGCTTGCGCTGGAGCAGGTGCCGAAGGTAGGCGCCGATCTCCACCAACGGAGTCCGCGCGGACTTCCTGCACAACTCTCATGTCAGCACTCCAAGGTGCATCGCTGCTGACGGGCTCATATTTCAGCTAGGTTTAAAGGCTTAGGGTTTTAGTTGTAGGGTGTAGGTTGCTGTTGTTGTTGTGGCTTGGGGACCGCTGAAATCGGAGATTTGATCTTCCCAGATTGTCTGTTTGGTCTTGGCAACCAAGCCCGAAAAGTTGTTAAGACCAACTTTTCTCCCCTGTGCATTCAAGCAATCTTTGATCCTTGCTTTCCTGCTATCTCTGCCTTCATCCAGCATACTATGGCACTCGTCACCACATGACAGAAGCCTGATCATGTAAGGCAGCTCCCTCATCAACAGCTGTACAAACTTCTGGGGCTCGCAAGCTGTCCTGGCTTCCGTCTGCCTTGCTTCTCATCAAAAGCTGTACAAACTTCTGGGGCTCGCAGGCTGTCCTGGCCTCTGTCTGCCTTACTTCTAAAAGCTGTGCAAACTTCTGGGGCTCGGAGGCTGTCCTGGCCTCCGTCTGCCTTGCTTCTTATCAAAAGCTGTAAAAACTTAGCGGTGGTTACAAACAAAGACAAGCAATTTCTATTTATCAATTTCTTGAGGGTTTAGGGTTTAGGGTTTAGGGTTTTGGGTTTAGGGTTTTGGGTTTAGGGTTTAAGGGTAGTTATAAGGGTTCCTTTAAAGGTCCCTTTAAAGGGATCTCTAGGGATTCTAGAAGGGTATAGGGTTTAGGCTCTACTTGGAGGTTCATGGGTAGTTATAGATGGAGTTATAAGTCCCTTAATATGGGTTTTGGTTTACAAGGACTATATAGGGACTATACTACCCAAAAAAGGTTAAGGGTTACCTGTTCTACTACAGTTAACCTCAGAAAGTTGGGATCATCGATTTAGGATGATTCATGCTGGGCTTCCCTATACTTTTACTCTAAGGGCATGAGGCTACTGATGTTCCAACTTTCTGGCTTCTACTGTAGGGCTTCAAGCCTCTGAGATGGGGCTTTGGGTTTTAGGCTTTCGGGGTTTAGGGTCAATGCTTTAGCTAAACCCTAAACCCTAAACCCTAAACCCTAAACCAGGATTTAGAGCTTCAGGGTTTTCAGGGTTTTGGGCGGTATGAGTCAGGCTCCAGGGCTTAGGGTTCGGGTTTAGGGATTTTGGGCTTAGGGTTTAGGATGTGGGGTTTAGGGTTTAGGATTTAGGGTTTAGGGTTTCAGGGTTTCAGCAGAGTTCTGCAAGAGCGTCGTCTCTGCTGAGGCTGACGGCCCCAAACCCTGAACCCCAGAGCCGATACATAGTCACCTTTTAGGGTTTACATAGGGTTTAAAGTTTAGGGTTTAGGGTTTAGGGTTTAGGGTTTTATGAACCGTTCGAAAACGAAACACGACCCTTCTGAGCAAGGTCCTTCCACCGGCGAAGGGACTTTGTCCACTGCCGCATGTCCGACTCCGATCCGGCAGTCACGGAAGTGACTCCAACCTCCGACTGGTAAACACGTAAACCTTATTCGGTTTTGGGACACACGTGACTTTCTCGATCTGCGGGACCTGTGGGATCGTGCCATCGCCAAGATCGAACTCACGGAGACACGATGTCTGCCCCGGAACTCACTGGGGAGACATCTCTCTTCTATACTGAACTTGGAACCCCAGCAAAAATTATAATATTCGCTGTTTCTTAGGGATTATAATAACCAAATTTAAAAAAAAAAAATCTAAGTACCCCTAAGTCTTGTCCGGAGATGCCCTCTCTCAAAGAAGCGTACTGACCCTCCGGATCGGGACGAGTGAAAAGCTGTATTTCGTGGGACTTAGTACCGGAAGTTATAAATAAAGTAGCTATTGTCATCATTTAGAGAAACGGGATGCCAGGGTTATAAACAAGGTAACTATAGTCATCATGACTTGTAACTTCTAACCTTACTTACTAAATCCGATGATCCCCGAGGTCTTGTTACCCAACAAGCAGTCACGCCGGTAGGTTTTCAGCGGTCGCTGCATCTTAGGCACTACTGTTTAAGGGTTCACATTGGGGTCAGTGGTTTTACTACGAAACTCCCATTTGTTGGAGTGGGGATCGGCCCAAGTACTATGTGGAGGACCCCCCAAGCCCCTAAACCCTAGACCCTAAACCCCAAAACCTCCTTTATCCCCAAACCGAAAAACCCCTGAACCCGAGACCACGGCCCATGCCGTAGAAGGCCAGATCCTTCACGAAGAACATGACCTTCAGCTTCGGCGTCGGGTTTAGAGGGTTAGGTTTTAGGGTTCCGGCGTCTAGGCTTCCGGGTTTAGATGTCTTTGTTGAGCCCCTTTTGTCCAGCAGAAATCCACCTCGAAAGGCCCATGGGCCACGGAGGAAAAGGCATCTTGGCTGACTTCTGAACCCCTCCTAAAAGCTAAACTTTTAGCCTCCTCATTATGGTTCATACAGATCGCCAGAAAGCTCAAGTCCTAAGAGCCAACCAGAAGAACGCCAAGGCATGGCATCCTGGCAAACTCGAGAGTCCCCAAGCCTTAAATCCTCACATCAGACGGGTTTAGGGTTCAGGGGTTCAGGGTTTTAGGAGTTCAGGGGTTCAGGGGTTCAGGGGTTCAGGGTTTCAGGGGTTCAGGGGTTCAGGGTTTCAGGGGTTCAGGGATTTAGGATTCCGGGGTTTGGGGTTTAGAATTCAGGGTTTAGGGTTCAGGAGCGGGCCGCTCTAGGGTGCTGAGGGGGTGAACAGCCCTGAACCCCTAAACCCTACCTTAACCTACCAAAACCTAATTTTGGAGGGTCCCTATAAATTCCATATTAGGGCTTATAATAAGAACCTACAAAAAAGTAGGGTTTGGTAGTTTAAGGTAAACCGTGCAGAACTCTGAATTCCGAAATCTGAAGCCTAAACTCCACCGAACCCGAAGTCCTTGGATCAAACCCTCTAAGAGCGGCCCCAAAACTAAGCTTGGAAGTGACCCCATTATAGTCCCAATATAATTAAGTATAGTTTAAGGGTTTTGGGTTGGGGTTTAGGGATAAGGGTCCCTTTTCAGGAACCGGTCCCCAGAAAAGGGAATCAAGTATGGTGCTGCAGAAGCCAGAGAGGAGGATCCTTCACCGTCACAACATGGGACCCAGTTCTCGCCACCATTATACTAGGTTACCCAGTAACCTACGAATAACAAGGCCTCTCTTTTTGGTTTTGGGTAACTTTATAAGGAACCTAGGACTACAAAAAGGGAATAAGGGTACTACTGGGCATCCTAGCCTTATAGCACCCATCAGCCCTAAATCCCAAGCCCTGAACGCCTAAACCTTTCAAGGAATCTTTTTGGAAAGAGGGCGGTAAGATCCAGACTGAGAGAGCCAGCACGCCCCAGGACTGCTTTCGAGTGGCCAAAGATGCCAAAGCTTCCTTTCTCTCGACTTTTGGATGGTTCGGGGTTTCGGGTTTGGGGTGTGGGGGACTTGAAAGGTAAGGATCTGAGAGGGGCTTGGAAAAGTCTTTGCTTTTTGCATGACTTCAGGAAACGAAAAGCCCATGCAATTCAAATTACGGGTCTACCTTCCGGTACTTGTCTTTTGTCCGGGATTGAATTATCGTGCTCTACTTGGAGGTTCATGGGTAGTTATAAGTGGTGTTATAAGGAGGGTAAGGACGGTTCTAACCCACATTAAGGGACCTAATCACTACCAATGAACCTCCAAGTAGCGACAATGATGCAAGCTTCGGACCGTGAACCCTCTTTGCAACACGCGCCGAAACCCTTACCTGCCCCCTACGGCCCGTAGCCTCTGAACTCTTTATCCCGAAGCTGGACCGGAAGCCTAAACCTTGAAGCTCAACTCATAAGCCCTCCTGTGGTAAGGGCAAAGCCTTTCTGCTACTGTAAATGCGATCATCCTGATGCCTAACCTTACCCTAAACCCTAAACCCTAAACTCTAAGCCTTAAACCCTAAGCCCTAAGCCTTAAACCCTACACCCTAAACCCTAAACTCTAAACTCTAAGCCTGAAAGCGTAAGGCATCCCTGGCCCCGGATCAGCTGCGACAGTGCCACTGAGCGGCAGAGATCCCGAGCACCTGTCGGAAGTTCGAAGACACAGTGTTGGGGGGTTTAGGGTTTAGTTTAGGGTTTAAGGTTTAGGGTTACTTTAATATAAGGGTGCCCGCAAGATATGCCAACCAAAAGGTTACTAGAGGAGCTTTAGGCATTAGGGTTGCAGGTTCACGATTGGCGGTTCCAGGAAATGGGGCTTGAGCGTTAGATGTTTAAGCTTCGGTTTAGCAGTTTAGGTTTAGGTTTAGGTCTTAGGCGTTCAGGGTTCGAAGCCGCAACCCCTGGGAAGATGGACTCTTCTCGAAATGAACTTAAAAGAGAGGAAGGGATTGGGGCTCTTAGGGCTTAGGGTCTAGGGTTTCAGGGTCTACTTAGAGGATCATGGGACTTAGTAACTCAGCTTATAATTAAGGTAACTATACTTATAATTACGTATAACCCCACTTAAGGTACTTATAACCATACTTACTAAGTCCCATGATCCTCCAAGTAGGGTTCTGAGCTTTGTTGAGAGGGAGGATCCCTACATGCCTGTTTATAGGGCCCCAAAAAAGCACGTAAGCAAAAATATGGGATAGGGATATCCCATATAAATCCCCTTGTAATGAAGCCCAATAAGGTAGGGGTATGCCCATAAAATGCTTATGCTTATGTGCAGTTTGGGTCCCTAAGTTTAAGCTCCAGATCTCCCAACGTGGGTTTCTGGAATCGGGTTTAGGGACGGTTTAGGGTTTAGGGTTTAGGGTTTAGGGTTTAGGGCTTGAAACCATGGGCCCCTCGTATGGGCCCTTAACCCTGGGATCCTTATATACCTACTATCTACCCTGTATAGACTCTTGAGGGTCCCTGGAACTCCCTTAAAAAGGTCTAAGGGTCCATACTGGGCCCATACTTCTAAGCTTAGGCCGTCGGGGACACCCTAAACCGCAGTCTTATGCTGTGCTTGGAGGCATTAGGGCAGCATCAAACTTTCCAGCCCACTCAAATCCCTAGCATGTAGATCCAAGAGTTCCCAGTCCAGATCGGCGATGTCCAGTGAGGCTGTGTTCCACACAGAGTCGCAAGACCGATTGGAGTGCTGTAAGTTGTCAAGCGACCAGCCGTAAGCGACCGGATAGCCAAAAGAACGAACGCTCATCTGACAGAAACGCGCATAGATTGGGACCGCAATGCTCATTTTAGCGCGCAAGTTGTGATTTGCGGCACCGACAATCAAGCGGTTCTTTGCTTCAGGCTTTGGCGTCACTTGCGTTCGCACAAACGGTAAATATGGTGTAAAACGATCGTACCCAGAAGCTGCACTGTAGGCACGTCTGACGGACAAGTTGTGCACTTCTCCACGTCGTCCAGCCCTGAAGCCCAAACAAACGGCAGCTTAAGTAAACCCTACACCCTCAACCCTTAAGAGGGCTTAGGGGAAAAGCATCGCAGGCGGAAGATCGGCGCTCAAGAGTGCTGGATTCACTTCCATAAAGGGGTCTTAGTAGTACATCGGCCATCATATGGGACTTTCCGAAAACACGTGGTACCTGATTTTGGGGTCCTTATAATAAGGATCCTACTATTTAGGGTACTATACTGAGGGTCCCCCATTTTCGGAAACTCACATGTGTGTACTAAGCCCACTGAGTTTCCAAATGGGTAGTTGTCAAAATTGTGGTCCCTTTTTGGGGTACCTTAAATATTAGGTGCCGTATTAAATTAGGGACCCAATGAAGGGACCCTAATTTTGACAACCACCCAAATAAAGCCTAAACCCTAAACCCTAAACCCTAAACCCCAAACCCACCCAAATAAAGCCTAGGATGCGGAGTTTAGGGTTGAAGATCTCAGGGTTCAAGGTGTTGAGCCTACAGGCGCCAAGGCTTAAGGTACACTTTTAGGGTTCCGGATTTAGGGCCTAGGTTTTAGGGTTTGGGTTCAGGGTTTAGGGTTTAGCGTTTAGGGTTTAGGGTTTAGGGCCTAGGTTTTAGGGTTTAGGGTTTGCGTTCAGGTTTTGGATTTTGGCTTTAGGCTTTGAGGTTTAGTTCAGCCACTTGGGCATCGGGAGTAGCGCTGAAACGGTTTATTGGTGACTGGCTCCGAGCACTCACGATTCGCCATTGAAAGCGCGTCGAAGAACATGTGACGCAGACGTCTTGCATAAGCTGCGTAAACCCCTAAACCCTGAAAACTCAACCCGTTAAGGAACCCTTCAAGGATCCCCTAAGCCCTAAACCCTATGGGTCCAAGCACTCGCTATTATGGGACTGTTGGGCCATTTCAGGTACCAAAACCCACAAACAGGGACTGCTTGGACCCTTAGGGTACACCCTTAAAGGAAACCCTTGTAGAACCCCTTATATAGGCCTCAGAGTCCTCGCTGCTGCTAGCGAGCTCGGAGACTGACACCTGCTCTGATTCGTCGGGCCATAGAGCTTTAGAGAGAAGCCAGAAACTTAGAACATGGCTTTAGGAGGATTAGTGCTAGGATCCCTTATGCTTGACCCTAAGGGCATGGGTGGTAATGATGTTCCAACTTTCTGGCTTCTACTATAAGAGCTCTCGGGGAGTTCAGAAGGGCTGTCTTTAGATCTTTATGTGGTTGATAGGATTTAGAACAAGCGGCGTGTATAGTTTCAATGGGATTTTGGGGGACTTATAAGGTCTTATATATCTTTGTTTGTATTGTGGGGTTGCATAAGGTGCTTTAGGGCTTTGAAGGCTTTGGTTATTTTTTGAGGGGCTTTGGCTTGGGGTTGGGGCTTCGCGTTACGGATTCAAGGTTCGACGTGTGGGGTTTAAGGCTGAGGCTGAACGTGAATCCCTGATCAATACACCCAAAGCCTCCAAAAACAGTAATGTAGGGGCCTTAGTAACTACCTGCATTTTCGGGGTTCCTTATTATAGTTATAGTAAAGTATAATGGGCCCCAAAACCCTAATTATTCTAATTATTAAGGCCCCTACAGTAAAATTGAACGGAGTTGCAAATTGTGTTGTCCTATAGGACAGCGATCTACTACTCAGGGGTACACAGTCTGCAGTAGTTTGCATTGAAGACTTTAGCCTTTTCGCTATATAACTTGGAAGCTGCTTGTGCATGCGATGTCAGAGGTAAAGTACATAATCCTCTTTAACCTACTGACTAAGTCCCATGATCCTGTAAGTAGCCTAAACTCCCCCTTCTAGAACCCTTATAGTTCCGTTAAAGGATCCCTGAAAGGTTGGCAGCTGATGTGCTGAAGCTTAGGATGTTGAAGTGGAAGCTTCCTGGCTTCGGCGTTGAGGACGTTATGACTCTGATTCCTATAAACCCTAAGATACCCAGTAACCTAAGAATAAAAAGGCCTCTCTTTTTGGTATTGGGTAACTTTAGAAGGAACCTAGGACTACAAAAAGGGAATAAGGGTACTACTGGGCATCCTAGAACCCTGAATTCTGAACCTGATCCCTAAACCCTGAACTCTGAACCCCTAAACCCTAAACTCTACGCCCTAGGTTGAGGACGTGGTGGTTTCCGTTCTAAGGTCGAGGTTTGGAGATGTCCTTATAGTGAACCCCAGAAAGTTGGAACATGGATTTAGGAGGATCCGTGCTAGGATTCCCTGTACTTTGCTTTAAGAGCATGGGGCTAATGATGTTCCAACTTTCTGGCTTCTACTATAGCTTTAAAGGGATCCTTTAAAGGGTACTGCAGGGTTCCTGCAAAAGGGGCTCTTTAAAGGGGGGATATCCCGGTAAAATGCTTATGCTTATGTGCGTTTTGGGTCCCTGATTCAGGTTCAAGGTCTGGGGCTCCTAGAGGTAGCCTTTGGGCAGCCACGGCTTAGGGCTTTGGTATTTGAGGCTGTAGGGTCTTGTCGTTTAGGGTGCAGAGATTTTGCTTGGTGCTTTAAAGGGCTTAAGGTTTGCGGCTTACAGGTTAGCATTTACGGCGCAGGATTTTGGATTTTGGGTTTTGAGTTTCAGAGTTTAGCGTGCAGGCACCCTATGCAGCTGACCTCGCGATGGTTCATGGCCGCCATCAAGTGCATGGCCTTGCCGCGGCGAGAGTATCACAAGGGTCCAACTACTTACTATAGGGGCCTAAACTTTCCCAATACTATTCTGGAGGTTCCTTATTATAGCTATACTAGGTTACCCAGTAACCTAAGAATAAAAAGGCCTCTCTTTTTGGTATTGGGTACCTTTATAAGGAACCTAGGACCACAAAAAGGGAATAAGGGTACTACTGGGCATCCTAGTATAGTATAATGGGCCCCGAATAGGTGCCTGTTTAGTTCTGTGGAGTAGAGGTTTGGGGTATTTTATTGTAAAGAGAAATGGAGACTATGGAGTGACATCGCTACCAATTATTCAGACTCGTATAATTAGTATGCCTGTGTATGCCTCTGTCCCGCGCGTGCCCTTCCCCTGCCCTGCCCCAAATCCAAAAAGTAGATGCCGCTCGAAACTCCCCACTTTAACTCTGCGCAACTTCTGTGAGCCCAAACCCTCAACACGGAACAGCGACAGATTATGCGGGCTCCGGGGTTCAAATCCCACACACTAAACCCCAATCCCTAAAACCCAAACGTCCCAAACCCAGAGCGCTCAAATGCAAAAGGCGCCTAGACCGTAAGCCCTTTTGAACGGCTTCAGGGCTTCACAGCTTCAGGGATTGAAGGCTCAAACCGCGGCATCCGAACCTCCCGAAGTTCTTGCCGGCGGCCGCGGGCGCTCAGGAAGTGAGGGGTATCCTGAATCACGCTGAACCAGGGAGCCGAGTTCTGGAGGGTTTACTTGGAGGTTCATGGGTAGTTATAAGTAGCGGTTATAAGTTCCCTAATATGGGTGATAACTATAGTTACCCTACGTATAGCCCCACTTATAACTCCCCATGAACCTCCAAGTAGGGTTTAAAGTTACCGGCTGAGGGCTTAAAGACTCGGGCTTGGGGCTTCAACGTTAGACTTTGGGTGTATGGCTTAGGATTATCTACTACACATATTATAAAACAGAACGTGCATAGGGTGCTTTCCTTAAAATAAAAGGGCTAACTTGAGCTATCATTCCTTTACCAAGGCCCGGAAGACATGAAAGAAAAGGGTCGAGTCTAGGGCGTCGGGGTTTTGGGATTACAGTTTGATTTAGGGATTGGGGTTTTTTGGCTCAGGATTTAGGGATTCATGGGGTTTAAGGATTAGGGTTTAGGGATTACGGCTTAGGGCTTATACGAGCTTAGGGCCTTGGGTTTGGGATTCAAGCTTTACCTTAACCTCAACTAGCCTACCTTCTTGAGGACCTGTATCAAGAAGTCACGTTATTGTAGTATCCTTAAGGGAGGGGGGTCCAAGGGGGGTATATAGCCTAGTGAACCCTAATTCTCCCTGGTACTCCCGAAGGTTCCCTTACAGTCCCCTAAGGATTCCTTATACCCTCCCCCCTTGACCCACCCTCCCTTAAGGATCCTATAACGTTACGGAACCCTAAAATGGTAGGTTTTGGGGACTCAAGCTCTACTTGGAGGTTCATGGGTAATTATAAGGGTTCCTTCAGGGGTCCCTTTAAAGGGATCTATAAGGAATCTATAAGGGTATAGGGTTTAGGGTCTACTTGGAGGTTCATGGATAATTGTAAGTGGGGTTATAAGTAGGTAACTATAGTATTAACCCATATTAAGGGACTTATAACTCCATCTATAACCGAACCCTACTACTATAGAACCCTACTATAGATCTCTTATAGACCCCTTTTCAGGAACCCTGTAACGGAACCCTATTCTAATTATTAAGGCCCATGAGCCTCCAAGTAGAACCTGTAAGCTGACTGCATCCGAGGTGCAAATCGCGCCACGGGACTGAGGAAGCCCAGGCACAACAGGGCGAGCCTGAGAGGCTTCGGGGCGATTTAAAGGTTCTAAAAAAGCCTTTTTTTAAGAAACCAACATAAAACTCAGAGAACCCTAAAAGTCCCACATAAGACCCTGTAAAGCCCTGCAAAGCAAAACCCAGATAAAATCCTGCGAACCTTAATAAAACCAGCCTGCAAAAACCCTGTCAATCCCTATAACCGCGTTTTCAAACCGCCAAACCCTAAACCCTAAACCCTAAACCCTAACCCTAAACCCTAAACCCTAAACCGTCCAGCCAAAAGGCGGTGGAAGACCGATCCACAGCAGCATGAACTTCCAACCCGGCCCGATCAGGTCCTTCGGGCGGGCACAGGATTTTAGGCGTTCCTTAAACCGTTCCTTACAGGGTTCCAAAAAGGGATCTATCAGGGATTTAGAAGGGTTTAGGATTGAGGGTTTAGGGTTGTGAGCCTATGGTTTAGGGTTTTGCGGTTCCGTAAAAAGGTTCCTTACAGGGTTCCTTGAAGGGCTGTGGGTTAAGAGTTGAGGGTTTTCTGAGCCCAGGATTTGGGGTTCAGGGTGCTTGGGCTTCACCGTTAGAATTTGATGTGTCTTTGTACCCAAATATTTATAGGGTTTCGTAACGAGTTTTCCAGGGTCCCGTAAGGGTTCTATGAGGGTCCCATAAGCGTGCCAACGGGTTTTACAGGTTAAATACATGCTGCTGTTGCCCTGGCGATTTTTGGTTCTTGATGAGGGGGTAATGTAGGAACCTGATTAAGAAACCATGGGCCTACAACCCCCAATATAGTAGGATTCTTCTAAAGGCCTAAGGTTTCTTGATCAGGTTCCTACATTACCAGCTGCTGGTTTGTAGCTCCTCCGGATGTTTGGGATGTGGAAAGACAGTACTATAGAGGCCTTAGCGATTAGAAGAGGGTTTTCGGGCCCATTATATACCAGAATTATGATGAGGAACACCCAAAATAGTATAGGTAATTTATTTAGGCCTAGTAACGGTTTTGGGGCCTGGGGCTTCCTTGACCCAAAACGAAGACACCGGTCTTTCCTGAGCGGCATTCAGGGTGTGGGGCACATTTCGGCGTTGAGGACTTCCAACTAAAACGTTCCAATATAGGTGCCTCAATCAGGGTTTGGGGTTACAGTATAAAAAAACATGGTAAGGAACCTTGCGGGTTACTGCAGGTAATCACTCAGGCTTCTATATTCAGCCCGAAATATTTAAACCCTATACCCTAAACCCTATTCCCAAAACCCTTAAACCCTAAACCCCGAAATAAGAATCAACCCCTCAACCCTATACCCCAAACCTTATTCCCAAAACCTTCAAGCCCTAAACCCCTAAACCCTAAACCCTAAACCCTTCAAGCCCTAAACCCCTAACAGCAGTCCGGCAGGAGGAGGCGGAATCCCAGTGCTGACCAGACCTCGCCACCTGAGCGCTTGAGGTTTCCACAATCAAAGGGTTTGGGGTTTAGGGTTTGGGGTTTTGGGGTTTAGGGTTTAAGGGTTTAGGTTTTGGGGTTTGGGGTTTAGGGTTTAGGGTTTAGGGGTTGAGGGGTTGAGGGGTTGAGGGGTTGAGGGGTTGAGGCTTTAGGGGTTTAGGGTTTAGGGTTTAGGGGTTTAGGTTTAGGGTTTGGGGTTTAGGGTTTAGTGTTTAGGGGTTTAAGGGTTTAGGGGTTTAGGGGTTTAGGGTTTAGGGGTTTAGGGTTTTTGGGGGTTTAGGGCCCCTTTCGGTTGGGCTCCCAAGATATAGGATGCCATAGCAAGAGTAGAGTTTTTTTAGGGTTCTTCAAAGAGACCATGATTCTGACGGTTCCCCATATAGTTTTCATACGGATGAAGGTCGTCAACATCACCTACTTCTGGCAGCATCCTTACAAGGGGGGTTGGGATTCAACAGCGCGACTCTGGGACCCTGAAACACGTGGTCCCTTTCAGGGGCTCCTGAATCAAGGAACCTAGCTGGAACCTATATAGCTGAACCTAAAACACAGTGTCCCTTTCAGGGGCTCCTGAATCAACGACCTAGCTGGACCTATATAGCTGAAAAAGGATCCTTCTACGCATTGGCGTACTGCCTAGTTCAAGGTGGCAGCGACGGCGGGAAGAGATGCGCAAGATCTCTGTGCCAGCTTTACGCTGGCTCTGGTCAGGGCCCAGGGTTTAGGGTTTGGCGTTTTTGTTCAGGGTTTAGGGTCGTCGCTGCGGTGGTGGATGGCGGTGCCGGTTCTGAACGCTCCAAAGGCCGTCGTGGTTGTGGCCGTGGCAATAGTCTTGGGATTTCAGCAAACGCAAACCAGGGAGTCAGGGCTTTTGGGGGTTCACGAAGCACCTCCCATATCGTTGAGCCAAGGACAGGTCCAGGTTTGAGTATCCCTGCAAACTGCGCCTTAAACCAAAGACAACAAACCGGATTTGTCAAGGGAGTCATGGGCCTTCGTCTGGGAATCCTGCTGTGATCCCTGAAAAGAGTAACGACACAGCAGTTGTGAGTCAGGGGTTTACATGAAGCCCCAAAGCTCAACCCCAAGGCTCCGAAACCTCACACGTTGACGATACTGAACTTAGAACCCTAGCAAAAATGATAATTCTAGCTGTTTCTTAGGGATTAAAATAACCGAAACTTAAAGATTATTTCTAAGTACGCCTAAGTTGAGTCTCCTCTGCAGTCCACGTCGCAACAGAATGCGACGGCCATGGCTGCATTGAACACGCCGCGCAGCCGCGTCGGGCAAACCTGTCGGGACTTATGCTTGTGGATTGCAACATGCGGGGCCCAAAGTTAAATTCTGAACCTTATGTCCCATACATCTGTAGTGTAAGCCCTAAGCCACAGCAAAAGACACCTGTATCCCCTGAATACAGGATACCCTTCTTCTTACTATTCAGTTCTAGGAGAGACACCGCGAAATCAGAATGGGAAAAAAGCTAGCCGAATAACACCCGGCAACAACCCTGCACAAATAAGGCCCTTCCGAAAATAACCCATTAATACGTGACCCCCACCTGTACGAATCCCCCCTCCCCACCCCCCCACCGAAATTCCCGAACCCCACAACCCACACCAAAAACAGATACCAAACTCTACGACCTGAACCCTCAACCCCCACGCCAAAAACAAGCTACACCCTAAACTCTAAACCCTAAACCCTTGTAGATCCCTTTACAGACCTTTTGATGAACCCTCTAAGGAACAATGCAACAAACGCAACTCCTCTTGGGGCCCCTAATCCCTCAACAACCCTAACCCCGAAACCCTAAAGACCCTAAACCCAAACCCCAAAACCCGAAAACTCCTCTTGGGGCCCCTAAACCCTAAACAACCCCAAACCCTAAACCCTAACCCCTAAAACTCCCCTTGGAGCGGCTCTCTTCGCCTCGGCCAGCGCAATGAACGCGGCGGGGATTCCCAGGCCGCCAAAGAAGCCAAAGGCCTCAAAAGGTAGGAACAAGTGGGATCTTTTGGTTCTTAGGTCTCCTTAACCCAGACCCCCCGGGAGGATCCAAAAAGTAGATCCCTTAATGGGGGTTCCTATAAAGTACCCTTAGTAGTATAGGGCCCCAAATTAGGGGATGTACTTTCTGGCTCCTTTGGGGGGTCTGGGAAAGGGTTACCTCCTTAAAGGGTTACTATACGTCTATAAGAGATTTATAGGGTTTAGGGCGTACCAGAAAGTTGGAACATGGCTTTAGGATGGTTAGTGCTGGGATTACCCTATACCTTACCTTAAGGGCATGAGGATTATAATGTTCCAACTTTCTGGTTTCTACTGTAAAGGGTTACCTCCCTAAAAGGGTCTGTAAGTCTATAAGAGACTATACGGGTTTAGGGCTTAGGTTTTAGGGGTGTTAGGAGGCTCGTTTTGGGGCTTAGGATTCCTGAAAGGGTTCCTTACAAAGGTCTATAAGGGATCAGGGCTCTTTCTGTGGGAAAGAAGTTGAGGTTTCGGGTATGGGGTTTTATCATTTTCTGGACGAGGGATTTAGGGCAGTAGAAATAGGGAACTCCTTAAAGGGTTCCTTACACGGATCAAACAGTTCCTTAAAGGGGTCTATAAGAGGTCTGTAAGGGTTCAGGGTTCAGGGCTCAAGCTTCAGGGTTTAGGGTTCAGAGTTCAAGGCTTTTTCTTCAGCACCTTTTTCCGTCTGCCCATGCTGTCCAAGCTAAGAGTTCAGGGTTTAGGGTTGAAGGCTCTCTTAGAAAGGGCTTTGTAAGGGTTCAACATCAGGGGCTACTGCCAGGGTCTATTGTGAATTTTAGGGTTTTGGGAGGTTGGGGTTGAGGGGTTCTGGAGCATGTTATACTACATATACTTACAGTAAGGAACTCTAACGACCCCTGAACCCTAAACCCTTATAGATCCGCTATAGATCCCTTTAAAGAACCTTTTAAGGAACCCCAAACCCCAAACCCTAAACCCCTAAACCCTTCATTCCCTTCAACCCTAAACCCCAGAACCCTTAAACCCAAAGCCCTAAACCCAAAGCCCTGAACTGCCAAAGCTCATTCCTTTGGGATCCGAGGCGCGCAGAAGCCGATGCAAAGAGCAGTGTAGCTGGCGGTGAGGAACAGGCCTTAAACAGGCTGGTGGTCTCTTCTAGATCATTGTCAAGATAGGATTAAACATGTACATTTTTATTCCTTATTGGGTTTAAGTACCCATAAACATGTAAAATGTTGCCCAACTATGACAAAGTCTTTATCTGTTCCAAATATAGCCCTAACCGACCTGTATAAATGACAGGCCTGCATCAACTCCCCTTGGAAGGTAAGCAAAAAACTTCTTTTTCGGAGACCCCTATAAAAGAAGACCGGAACCAAAAAAGGAACAAAGTAACAAAGTCTCCAAGAGCTGAGGCCTGCATCAGTAAAGGAATCCAAGGAGCCGGGGATTTAAGGTTTAGCGTTGAGGGTTTGGGGTTTAGGGGTTGAGGGCTTAGGGCTCGGGGGTTTAAGGTTTGGGGTTTAGGGTCTAAGGTTCAGGGGTTGAGGGTTTGAGGTTTAGGATGGCCGGGTTTTAGGTTTGGGATTCAGGGTCTAGGGCTTCGGGTTGAGGGTTTGGGGAGTTTAGCTGCCTTTACTAAGTAGAAAAGTGTTTTATGGATCCTCTCGAGGGTCGTATTGGGTAGAATCTAAGGAGCGTAACAATTATGGAGTAGTTTTTGGGATATTGCACTCAAACTGTACCGGGTCTATGCGAGAATACTTTTGTAGACTGATTCTCAATGTCCCCCCACATTATTTGGAAGAAGCGGTGATAAGTCTGGCTGCAAGTGTGATGGCTTTCAATCGGGGGCACTTACAACTCTACCTGACGGTACTGACTCTACCTATGACATATGACCTTCTTACTATGCCCTTTGATCCTGTGAGTAGCGCGAAACTCCCGAACACAATTAGAAAAACAGTTGTTTGAGGCCTCTTTAAACGCAAAGAGCAGCCCTCGAACGATTGCAGAAAACAACCACACAACTCTGTCCTGGAACCGCCCAAAACTGCTTATCAACCTTAAACCCTAAACCCGAAACAAATGAAACTCTAAACCCTAAACCGCAAATCCCGAACCCGAAACTCTGAACCCTAAACTAAACCTTATACTATACCCCCTGAAGCCCTAAACACCGAATCGCCGCCCGAGGATCCCAGAGCCGACATCATTTAAGATCCCTTAAAAGGAGCCTCCTTAAAGGAGCCCCCTTAAAGGAGCCCCTTGAAGGATCCCTTTAAAGGAGGCCCTTAAAGGATCCCTTTAAAGGACCCCTTAAAGGATCCCTTTTAAAAGAGGCCCTTAAAGGATCCCTTCAAAAGAGGCCCTTAAAGGATCCCTTTAAAGGACCCCTTAAAGGATCCCTTTTAAAAGAGGCCCTTAAAGGATCCCTTCAAAAGAGGCCCTTAAAGGATCCCTTTAAAGGACCCCTTAAAGGATCCCTTTTAAAAGAGGCCCTTAAAGGATCCCTTCAAAAGAGGCCCTTAAAGGATCCCTTTAAAGGACCCCTTAAAGGATCCCTTTTAAAAGGCCGACATCAGCATCCCAGAGTAGGCCAACAGCACCGGGAGCCGGCGGCCGAAGACGTCGCCCGCCGAGCCTGGCTTTGGGGGGGGGGGGGGGGGTGGGGGTGGGGGGCTTTAAAGAGGTCTAGGGTTTAGGGTTTAGGGTTTAGGGTTTAGGGTTTAGGGTTTTGAGGTTTAGGGTTTTGAGGATTAGGGTTTAGGGTTTTGAGGTTTTCGGTTTAGGGTTTTAGGGTTTTAAGGGTTAGGGTTTAGGGTTTTAGGGGTCTTCCTTTAAGGGAGCGTTTAGGGCTTCCTTTAAAGGGATCTTCTCGGGGCTTCCTGTGAAGGGATCTCTTAGGGCGTCCTTTAAAAGGATCTTGTAGGGGCTTCTTTTGAAGGGATCTTTTAGGGCTTCCTTTACAGGGATCTTTTAGGGCTTCCTGTAAAGGGATCTTTTAAGGCTTCCTTTAAACGGATCTTTAGAGGGGAATTTTAAGTGATCTTTTGGGGTTCCTTTAAGGGTTCCTTTATTGGGTTCCTTGAAAGGGGTCCGCAAAGAACCCTATAACGGTTCAGGTTTTGGTGCAGTTGGGGTTTGCCGTACTTGTGGCTTTTGTGTATTTGGGGCTGCTCTTGTCTGGGTGTCGATCTCAACAGTCCACAAAATTATGCATGAACAGGGCGCTACAATGAAGTCTGAACGAAAACAAACACTTGTGAGCATAAATATCTCTAGGAGCCCTCAAAACTGGGTTCTTGTTCAGGAAATTATTTCAAACTACCATAACAGAGAAACCATATAGTTCACTATAGATCCCTATTGTGGTAACTTAAATTACGTCAAGTTCCTTAACAAGAACCTCAACCCAAAAACCCTCAATCCCTAAACTCTGAACCCTAAACCCTAAAAACCCTAAAGCCCTCAAACCCTAAGAACCCGGAAAAACTCTCGGAGCCGTCATGGGCACTCTCTCACTCGGCCTGAGCTCAAGGTGCCCAGTGCAAAGCCCACGTAGGTCGACAGCATCTGGGCTTCCTCCGGAGCTCTGTATGGGGTTGTTCTAGGTTTGGCTGAGGGCATTTGAGGTTCCTTGAGGGTTTGGGGGTTTAAGGAATAACAAAGGTCAATAATGTTTGTAGTGGTAACTGATTTCGGGCTTGAGGACAAGGCTATATTATGAGATTGAGGTTTAAGTTTGTTTGGTTTTTGTTTGTGTATCGCACAAGCATTGAAGGCTGGGTAGCTAGCTCCGGATGTTTCATCCACTAGGGACAATATTCCTTTGAGGGGCCCAGGCTGGCCTGCAAACTCCTTGGTTCTAGCAATTGATTTCGTCTGCATTTTTTCCCAGATTTCTCTCTGAGGCCTTTGTGGATGACCATGCACTGTCGGCTCTTGGCCTCATCCGACGTCTTCAGCGCCGCTTTTTGCATCACACTTGTCTGTAGCCAGTCGCTTCCATGACCCAGAGACTCCAAAACCCCTTGGAAAAGGAATATACCTTATATAAATCAGACTAGGGATCCTTATATAAATTTAAGGAATATACCTAATATACCTGAATTCATTTTCGGGATCCTTATATAACTTTAAGGAACATACCTGAAATCATATTCGGGATCCTTATATCATCTAAAGATACAGCGGTACAGGGACAAGCTCTTGGGTGAATAATAGCCATCATCACTTCATTCTGAACACAAAC